GCTTGCCTCTATAAACACTCACACAGGTATTATTATAAGGAGGGGCATTTACAACCAAAAAAAGAAGAAATAATTTTATCACTAAAATCAAAGTCAGTGTCAAGAATGAAACAGTCAGACAAGTTCTCTTGTACTCACAGCTCTGGCAGAACCCCCATGAGTGACAGGTGTCGAGATACTGTCTCAGGGAACAGCTCCAAACTCCTTTTTTTTTGACATTATTTCTCTCCAGCCCACTAACTTGCATATTCATTCCTTAACTCTGGATGATATAAGTAATCCCACAATAAACGTGAAGATCACATTATTCCATTTCTGCTTAACTTCATTCACATTAAAATCAAAGTAGCATTAGAAGTGCCATGCTGTGTTTTCTTAGCCTCACAAATAGACACTAGGCATATTAAGTAAGGAGATAACTTGCTTTGCCTTTATCAGCTGGAAATGTCAAAGCAGCTTTCCTTTTTATGTAGGCTAAACATACTCCAGTCCCAACAAATCAACACATCAGAAGGTTTATTATCTTATTATCTAATTAACAAAAAATAGCACCTTCTGTGTCAAGAGTAAATTATGCAAGTGCCATTTCCCCCTTATTCATTTTTACCAAAGCTTCTAGCTCACCAAGATTCACTAAGCCTTTGTCCTTTTGAGCCTGAGTTCGTCCCTTACTAATTTTTGTAGAACTACTCAATTTAAACCGTAGCACTAACAAGGCAAGAAAACCGTGCCCCCCTGCAAGGGCTTGGTCACGTGTCTGGTGAGGTCTCCTGTTGGCTCGATCTCATAGTCTCAGTAGTGCAGGTTACTGCAATGTCTGCACCCTGGCCAGTGTAATTGCCTTTCTGTGTTCCCGAGAAGATTAAATATATCATTTCTGCACTATGCCTGAATTAAAGGGACAAGAGAATGTAAGAAATATAATTCATAAAGAAATGTTACGTGCCACAAATCCAGACTGTTCAAAAACTTACCTAAAATTAAAAGGAGAAATTAGCTGACTCTGTTAACTTGTCCATTACAGGAAGCAAATGATGTATATTTTGGAGTAAGGTAAGTAACGCTTCTGCAGCATCTTCATTGCCCTCACTTTCCTGATGAAATGCGCAGCCCCACAAACGGATTTAAGCTACAGGATACCTCCCTGTATGTGGGAGGAGAGGGGTGGTTTTTTTACTGATGACCTACAGCTGGCTTACTGCTGAGCTGCCGGATGTCCATCCATTTGGCTAGGCAGCACAGAGTACCAGCTACTCCTGTGAATGGGTGGCCCGATGCTTGGAAATCTGTGTGTGAATATGGTAGCAAAACTGTCCAAATTTTCTAGTGAAGCTTAAATACAACCACACAGAGATATGTAACAAATGCCTGATCGTACTGTAATTGTAGATAAAACTGGAAGGCTTTTTAATGGTTCTTTTATTACCCTTCCTGGGTGAGTCACATCGCAAAACGACTACCATGAGCACGAGGCAGTCACTTAAAATCTGATCAGATCAGTCTTGCGCCATTGCCCAGCCAGTTCCCTCTCTCTAAAGAGACACTCCTACTCTGGCAGCCTCGACGCTACAGGACAGATGCTCTCTATGCTGCATCCCATAACCCTTGTAACAGTCCATCCTACTGTGCTCACCTGACCAAAGGTTCTTCCTGAATCATCCTTCAGTCCTGACAAATTAAAAAGCCAGAATGCCGACATGCTCTTATCTCAAAGAAAATGGGATTATCCCATCTCTGCCATGCAACAGTCCCAAAGAGCATCAAATCACAGAAAGCACCTCAGTGGAGCTCTGCCCGCCCTCTGGTGCCGCCTCCTTTGGAGGCACGGAGGGAGACTGACGACTTTCTCAAAACTGTCAAAGTATTTTTTTCCATTTGAAAAAAAGCATACAGGCATGAGTCCATTAATTCAGGCAGCAGCATCTTTTGCCATCCCAATGGCATCCAGCTGTTAAGGGAGATTGCTAGGGAGATGGGGTTGTCCTATCCCTAAATCCCCAGAAAGCATAGCAGCTTCCTACAAAGGAATGAAAAAAATCAATGACTCCATAGTGCAATACACTCTCTCCCATGTAGAAGCCCATGATTTCATGTCAGACAAGACATCGGCATAATCGATGTCATAGTAAGTAGCTTCCTCTGCAGCCACTGCAGAAAATGGGCTGACTGCATTGCATGTACTTGCCTGGACAGCATCTTACGCTACTCTCTCTACCTTCCCTTCTTCCCCAGGCTTGTTTGGTATAGAAGAATCCATTGGAACCATCATTGGGGTTGTGGCAGCTGGTATCGGAGGCATAGTGGTTCTGATCATTGTTTTAACCCCACAGCTGAGGAGGTGTGTGAGACAAGGCTCTTGCCAAGGTAAGGAACACAAACCAAAATCCCTTGCTAGAAGGATGAACCCAACCTATTTCCAAAGGTATCTTTTTTTGAAGTAAGGAGGAATTTGCCATTTACTTACCTCTGGTCAGACAAGGCATCTGGTTCAGGAAATAAGCAGTGCGGATGAAACTCTAACAGGGCTGGCTCTATATTCCATCTCTTTTTCAAATAGTTCTTTGTTTATGTTGGGTAGAGCTTCATGCATGGGCCTAATGAGTTACCTATAAACAAAACAATAGGATCTTCTTTAATTGCCACTTTCGGCAAAGAGTTGTTCAATGAGATGCTGCTGCTTCTTTTAACAAAGTCCTGGGTCTCCTTCAGTTCTTTTAGGTTTATGCTGAAGGATGTTTCTTCCTCCCACCAACTACATGCTTACATCCATATTCTTGTAATGCTTGCGTACAGAAAGCCTATGATGGCCTAAGTGTATGTTTGAGGTGTGGTTTGTAAAGCCCAGTAATATCTTTTATTAGATCAGCTGATCAGGTTGGGAAAACTGGTTGTTTTCGTCACACATGAGCCAAAGAAATGAACCGAGAAGAGGCTGATGTACCTGAAAGCTCGCCTGTTTTTTCCAGCGAGTCTCATTAGAGTAGACTGACACTGAAGGCTGGATTTTGAAACAAACTTAGTTCCCATTTTGTGCAACCCAAGATGTGGTCTGCGTGTCAGACCGAGCTCAGCTGACTTTTTGCTTTCAGTGGGGCGCCGTGTGATTTGCACCTCTTCTGCCGGCACTCAAAAATCTTGCTCGGCCTGCTGAAAAAAATCCCGTCCCTGAAGGGATGAAGGAAGAGCTGCTCTTGCCGTTCACTGGAGCGCTGCCGCCACCTGATGGCCAGCGTGGCGGGGACAGGGACACGGCCGGGAGCTCTGCCCCTGCTTGCCGGGGAGGGTCTTCCAGCCCTTGCTGAGATGCACCCGCACCCCTAGGCTGGTGCTGCCCACCCAGCATCACCCCTTTGCAAATCCTCTGCATGAACAGAGCTCACAACTTCTTTACTTGCCAGAAAGCCTTGGAAGAGTTTATTGCGTTGTACTAGCTCTGTATCGCTCAATCACTCGCTCTCCTTTCCTTCTTGCTCAGCGTAGCTTGAGGTGCAGCATTGCAGGAGTCGCTGGAAGATGCAAAGCCTACAAGTGGAACAACTTCTGATGCCCCGTAAACCAAAAATGGAGCTCTAGATGGAATAAAAGCTTTTGCCTCAGTACATGTTGTCTTTGGCATTTTTATTTTTGTCAGTCTGTTTCTTTTTCCTGCAGCTTTGACAGCCACAGTGGCATATTCAACATCCTCCTGCAGCGAGGAGCAAAACAGCCTTTTGTAAAGAAATTTGTGTTATCATCTGCCAAAACCCCACTTAGTTTGGCCACATATCTCTGACTCTAGACCCTGATGAGGTACCTTGGGTCTTTCCCTGCCATTACTTCTTATTTTAAAGGTGGTACTCCAAGTTGTCAGCTGTGCTTCAGAAGAAGAGCCTGACCTCCCCAGGCCCCCCAGCTCCCCAGCTGCTAGCACCTACCCGAGGAAATCGGATGTGTTGCTTCTGGGGGTACAACAGTGGCTCCTGTCTGTCTGCGCCTCTCCATATAGAGGCTCCTGTCCTGTTGGCTTGCTCCAGCCTACGGGCTTGTAAGGAAGAGGCAGTGAAGGCCTGCTTGAACATAGCTACCACCGGCTGAAAGAATGGGATTTCATTTTACTCTTGCCAGAAGGAAACATAGTGTTTCAATATAAGCCTCTAACACCCGTAAAAAAAAAGGAGAGATGAAAGATTTGCCTACAGGACTAATGTTATCCACAGCCCCGGTTTCTTGGCATGACAATAGCTGGTTCCCAGGTGGTCAGTGACCGGGGGATGTGCCAACACCTGTATAGGAGAGCAGCATATCAGCTCTGAAGCGTGTGTGGCAGGTAAGCAATATGGTTTTTTGCAAAGTATGGGTGTGCCAACTAGTAGAAGTCAGAAACCCTTGCTGGCCTTGCAACGGCAATAGCCCGGCGTAACAGCTTACCTTTGAATGTGCCTCAGAAGTGTCCCCAGTGCTGTGAGGCAGGAACATGAGGGATAAGACAGCTGGCTATATAAGCTAAGAAACACACACAGACCCCCCGCAAGAAAGAATGGAGCCCTCCTCTGGGCCAGACTCTGCTTTTCCTTTTGGTAGGAAGCAGAACTCCTCCGAGCACAAATAAGGAATAAGGAGGCATCCTCCCTCTTTTATGTTCCCACTCCTCCTGCAGGTCCCAGAAAATAAAGTGGGTCACTCCACTTCCAGACTGGCACGCCTTGGGTCTTCAAAGGCCAGTGTATCTTTTCGTAGAGATGGATTTTTTTTTTTTTTTTACAAACCAGTCCAGCAAAAGTCTCTACATATTTTCCAGATCATATGCAAATGTGTGAGAGCTGAAGGTCAGGCGATGTGAAAGGACAAAAAAGCCATTTGGTGACGGGTAATGTGTTCTCACTGCACTTGCAGACCGAACCCTCCATTTCTGCAAAGGCAGCAATCAGAGCAGGATCTTATCCTTACTTCAGCATATATTTTACCCTGTCTCTCCTCCCCATAAACCCTGGCCTGATAGAAATTTCCTCACACCATTGTCAGCTCTGGTAAAAGAGGTAAAATTTTATTCCAGCACCTTCAGATTCAAAGGGTTAGAAGAAAGGTCCCAAAAAGACTATTCTGCCCCCCCGTATCTGAAATGGCAGGTGGGATGAGTCTGTCCACATAAAAAGTCTGGCCAGAGGATGAAGTGTGGGTTGTACGGGGCTGCTCCCCAACACTTGGCTGCTTCTTGGTCACACAGGCACACCATTTTTTCACATCGGTCTGTCAGGTTATCTGCAAAAGAAAATGTGAGCGGAGGATGAGAGATTCTGTATCGGACGAAGGCGAGAAACAAGAAACAATTTTTTTTTTAAGAGGAACAATTCCCTAATAAAACAATTCTTAGGGAACAGAGGCTGCGGCAGCAGGAAGAGAGAGGGACCAACATGTCATGTTGTGTGTGGATCTGACCTGTCCTGTCTCTGTCAACAAGTCTGACCTTAACTGTGACCAAGAGCATCAGAAAGTAGCAGCTAAATGTAAATTGACAATACTTATAAAAAATTGCCCAGCACAGAGCGCTCCCCTCTTCTAGAGCTGTGCGAACAATGGGGATTTAGTACAGTGGCCAAAGATAAAAAAGAAAATTATTTTAGCTTAGCCTTATAAAAAGATTCCATTTTCTCTCAGTCAATCAACTTCCCTTTTAACGCCTCCCTCTGCACATCAGACCAACATCAAAAGAAAAAATGCTGCTTTGAAAGGAAGAGTCTCCCAGAGGGACATTCAAAAACCTGAGGGTATAGAAGCACCCATCGGGCATCCTTCACTCGTGCTCCATGAGTTGCTCTTACATCTCTCTGATCACGGCAGAGGAGCAAAGGAGCTCCGCAGCAGGGTCAGGTACCGGATTTTTTTGAGTCAGCAGCTAACGAGGCTGATCAAAATCATACGTATGGAACTATTTATAATGCAATTATATGACTACATGACTCGGTAAGGACTATGAGGAACATCAAAGCAACTAGCTCGGGTGGCTACATTGCAAATGACTGATTTTGAGTTAATGAACCCCATCCCACCTATAGGTGGCTTAAACGCAGCTGTTGGGCTAATATTATTTCAAAGCACAGTGCCTTGTTTATTTGAGGCTGCTACTATAGATTATCTCACACCCACCAAACGCTGCACTAGGCAAAGTTTAAAGTGTGACTTCATGCCAGGGCACATGGGCTTTGCTCCAAAACCAACTGCAAAGAGTACAGGAATCTTTCCAGATTTCACTGGACTTTGCTGGATCGACCCTGTATCTGATAAATAAGAAGAGCCCATATTTCTTAAGCTTGTCTGAAAAGCATCATATGTTTACCGGTAAAAAGTGTTTCAAGGGTCCCACCGACGAGGACTCAGCACTAAGTCCATTTTTTTCTTAGCTACCAGCCCTGCCTGATTTTCTCCTTGCCCTCTGCTCCTTGAGTTCTTCCTGTCCCGTGCCAACCACTGTCAGTTTAACGTGAGTACAAGAGTCTGGCTTGGCAGTCATTTCTGTTAGAGCAGAATGATTTTTTTGACGAGCTCCCGCAACTTATATTCCGGATATTTATCGAATGGAATTCACCTACACGTGGTGGCATATCTGGACCGAAAAATATGTTTTGCCAATTTTTTTCATTCCACAAACAAAACTGCCTAACAGTAGCAGAAGGAGGAGAAGTCCCAGGTAAAATGAATTTCTGTTTCATTTACCTGAAAATATCTGTGTCATGGTACAGTGCCAGGCAATAGACATTTACTTCCTCTTGCATAGAAAGGACAGTGCAAGCAGATCTACTTCTAATGTTTCTGGACATCATTACCCTAGGCCCAGCAAGCATGCCTGGAAATTTAATTCTTTATCCCTTTTTTTTGAATGGGATCAGACATTATACCTTCACACCCAGTAAAACCTGCTATGCTGTAGCCTGGGGTAGGAAATTTGCCTTCAGAGCGCATTTCTATTGTTCCTCCCCATGGGGGATGTCAGGGCAAGTGAAGCCTACTGAGGGCTTGTGGAGAACCGTTGATGGATGCTTCTCAGGCCTTGCTTGGACATCAATGGGATTAATGGCATTTGTTTAACTAATGCTTCTTAGCCAGGTTGGAGCAACTGCAGCCGATTGCACTGTTACGGGACATACTTTGCACGTCTCATGGACTCGATGGTACATCTCACATCCGCAGCTAGGATTGTTCCTTCACAGCAAAAAGAAACACGGGGTTTTTTTCGTATAAAAATAGCTAGCAGAAAATATCAGCCAGCTATGTAAATATGGGCAAGTGGGAGGGAGAGCAGTTATACATTCAAGCAATACATTCCTTAGCCAGCACTTTGTATTTAATAGATTGTTCTGGCGCTTGGAAAAGAGCAACTGCAGATGTGTTGCACCACATCCTGTATCTGCCGGCACGTTTTCAGCTGCTGGAGAGGCTGAGGATTGCACCAGTGGAATATGGTCTTCTCACAAGGTAGAAATAGTCTTTTAATGTTCAAGCAAGTAGCTTTGATGCTATGGGGACAAGTTTTACTCTCACATGTTTCTTTTCAAACTTTTGAAGTGTTCTACAATGGATTTTACCATCAGGGACATTTTGGAGACTTAGAAATAGAAGTGACAAATTCTAAGACTCAAGTCATCTGGTGTATGTCAAAACAAACTGGTGCGAGCCACTGACGGGCTGTGACTATGCAATTCAAGACCTTCTTGACTGGGTACCAGCTGTAGAGCTCAGCACAGCCTACACTCGCTGTATGCCTGCGACGCTCAAGAGCATTCAATTCTGCAAGCTTCAGAGTCCCTGCTGGAGCCCTAGGGCCTTAGGCTGGAGCCCCGCACGAGGCAGCGATGCAGGATGGTGCCCTATTTAACCTTCCTTGCAGCCATGCATAACAGCATGGCTCTTCTCTAGCAGTACATGATGGTAAGTAAAAAAGTGAACAGTCCTGCTGGGGGGAGGGCCAAAACTGCCACAGGAGGACCATCCCTGCAGACCATTGCACAGCTGTGGGAAGGCGATGGTGAGGAGCAGGCAATGCAGGTGGGCAGAGAGCCTGCAGAGAGCCATCTGCATCCTTGCCAAACTGAGGTGGCTTGTCGGCTCCATGGCCCCCACTCCCGCTCTTCAGGCTGGGGAGGACTCAGGTTACCTGGAAAGGGTGGTGCTGGGGCTCCAGCATTCCTCTCAGCTCCAGCTGGGGACTCTCGGCAAGCCTAGCGATTCAGGCAAGGGATGGGAAGAGAGCTCGGAAGAGAATGCACGTTGCCTAAGGCGGCTTTAAAACCAGCTCAGCGTACACAGACCTACTTCTGAGGCCCACAAAGCTCCTCGGTCAGCCTAGCACCTGTGGAGGAGGGAGCGAAATGAACCCAACGCGAGCGAGCATTTCCTTACCGCACCGCACGGCGTTCCGCTCACACGCCCACTGGTACTGCTGTGCCTTGGGGCTGCAGCCTTCCTTCTCTGCCTTGTCGTAGCAGCAGTCGTGCCTGTGGCAGCACCTGGGAGAGAATAAAAGGCAGAGTTTGGACATCCTCCTGCGTCTTGCACGTTTTGCTCAGGGGTGTTTGCACGTACTCCAGGAGTGCTCCACTCACGCACCGCTCACGACAGCAATGTTTGTCCCAGCCTGTCAGTAAATCATCTGTTGATGAACAGAAGCATCCTGGCATCTCTTTGAAAGCTCACATGGCTCAGGAGCTCATTAATGCCATATTTGCTCCCATAACCACTGTGCTTCTTCCTCCAAGCTTTAGCCCTCAGAAAGGCAGGTGTGGTCAATACATGATAATCCCACAGAAAGGGAGCTGAAGCGCTCCTATGAGGTGCGTGATTGTGGCTTACCGGCTTAGGCTTAGACCCATCTCAGAATTTGGAGTTGGGATCGTTTTTGCGTTCCTCAGCATCACCAAGCAGCTTCATTTCTTCAGTTCACCTGGACCTGCCATGTGCTTTTTGGCCCATCCATCCAGTTTCTGAGGCTACAAACTCATCAGCCTCAATGGTGGGATTCATATCAGTTAACATCAGATCCCCAAATGTAAACATCTACATTTAAGGCATTGATCTATACTGCCTTTATGCATGTCTGGAGCACAGTTCATATTATCATACTGCAGAGAGCTAACATAGGTGAAAAACATTGCATTTGAAAGTGCAATTGCTTTTCACTGACCATAGAGGGAGCTGAGGGTGACTAGCTCAGCTGATGACATCTGCCCTACAGACTAGACAGTGAGATAATTTCCACTATCGAATACTTCAGAATTTGTAGGAAAATTTGACCGCACTTGAATTTTATTTGGTAGTTTAGTGACTCAAAATATGTCAAGAAAAGATTCAGCCCTTAGAGAGGTCCTCTGCCGGAAAACAAGGCAGGCTGATCTTAGGGGTAAATGAAGAGCAGACAGCTTTTAGAGAAGCTCTTGAGTCCTAGACGTGAATGTCTTCAAGAGGTTGATGAGCTGGCCGAAAGGGAGCATGGCTGTGCTGGCTGTCCATAGATTACCAAATCCAGTTGAAGGCCTTGATTGTTATCTTCAAGGCCTGAGGCCAGTGTACCTGAAAAGCCAATAAAAGTCTGGGATCCATCATTATATCCCTCTGGAAAAGAGGAACAACCCTGCAAGAAGGATAAAGGTCCCTTGTGCAGGAAGCGGGGCTTCTCCGGGGTCCCGTCAGGACCTGCCAGTACCTTACCCGAGAGCTCAGAACACCACAAACTTCATCACCCCCTGCTGCAGGAGGATTTTGCCCTTTTAGAAATTGGTTTACGGATATGAGGGCTGGCAGGCCTTAAGAGGTGATAAAGCTCAGGAAAAAAACCCAATTTTTGAAGTGCAAAGAAGAAGATCCACCACTGACACAAATTCCAATAAAATGACTGGAACTAGATCAGGTGAATCATGTGAAAGAGACAACAGAATCAGACCAGTCAGATCAAATTCAGCCTTCAAGTAACCCCTATGATTACACACAGGCTGAATTTAGTCCAGTGTGCTTTCCCACCGATTTAGTAGTTAAAGTAGCAATTTCATCCCACAGATGAGTCTGCACACTAGATTTTTTTTTCAGCTTGCAAAGATGAAACCTGTGTGATGATTACAACCAGACTACTCACTGCATTGTGAAACCTAGAAATGTAAGTTAGCAGTAGCAGACTAGTGTCACCCTCCATGCCACCTCCACAAAGGACTTCAGAATGGGAATAAGCCCTATGGGATGTACATAGCTAGACGGTTTCCCATGACGAGTTTCAGCAATTCCTGTAATTGAGAAGAGCTTATTCAGCGCAACTGGTTCTGTTGGACGTGACTGCAGTTACAGGCTGCGGGTCAGATCTTTGTTGGTCCGGTAACACCTCACTCCTGGGCTTGTCCTGAAGAGGTTGGAAGTGAAAGGCCAAAGGAGGGAAGAATTTGCAGTCTTGTGGAAAGTGTGAAAGTCTCGGCTTTCTCCAACGTTTGAGTCCCTATGCAATGTGTCATATGATATGACAGGGATGGACTACGGCACTGAGCTACAACTGGGGCACGTGTCATCTGGAGGAGCTGCTGTAGCCCAGGGCACCCTGGCCAACATACCTGAAGCTGCAGCACAGCCTCATCCATCCTCAGGGGGATGATAGATAGCAGAGCAGGCCCAGCATTGGTGTCTCGTATATGGGACGCAGAGCACAAGAGGCCATGGTGGAGAGCCACGAATCAGGCTGAGCTGAGGTGGAGTGCCAGCTGGAGAAATTTCACGGCTTGTGAGGTCTGGGGAGTGAATCAGTGGTCAAACTGCTGTCAGCGATGGAGGAGTCTGGGGAGGAGGAACAACGCGAAGGTAGAGACGCAAAGGGAGGAGTTAGGAACCTGTGTGCCAAGGGAATGAAATTGCTCTTCATGGAGAACCAGAGGGAACAAAGAGAAAAAGAGGTAGGAGAAGTGAGATCAGATCTTGGAGAGGGCAAAAGATGGTCTGTGAATCAGGCAAGGACAAGCAAATGAGCACTAGCGAGGTGTGCTAGCTAGCTGTGAGAACTCACTGCTCCTTATCTGGCTTGGCAAAATCAGGGGGATTGCAGAAATTCTGCAGGATCACGGGACTTGGGGCACAATTCTGCGTCCCTTTACACCAGTTCCTCCTGGTGATACCCATAACTGCATCGGGGTGACATGTAGCTTACACCCACACAAAGCGAGAAGGCTTTGGCTCATAGTTTACAAACATCGCTTTCAGATGCGCTGAAAGAACGGCCAGGGAATGAAGAGTGAGGAAACCTATCATTGTCCATTGCCACCTTCAGATGGACCCCTCCTGTCTGGAAATGCCCTTTCCTGCGCCTGGGTCAGAGCGTGGTGTTAAGCTTTTAATAACCTGCTAACGCTCAGTTAGACCAACGCAAACAGAGTCAGCCAACACTATGGCAGAGCACTGGTCAACAGGTATGGAAAACAAATACAACACTGTCATCTAGTTAGTAAGCAACCTATTCATCACGTCTGGGCTATGAGACAGCCCTAATGGCTACAGATGGCTCCAGCTGGCCCACAGGGATCAGCTGGCCAGACTCCTGCCATTGGGCAAATGCCGTTAAGGTAAGAATTTTTCACTGTTGTGTTTGTCACGTTAACAGCACCGTCACCGCTGTGTGTCCTTTTGTTTTGCTTTAACTCAGCAACTGAGGGGAAATCTTACTCTTCCCTATGAGTTGCCAGGACTTAGATGAGCCATATATGCCACCCTGCCTTTCATGGCATTCGGTGTTTTTAGGGAGATGCTGAGCACCTTCAGGTCCTGCTTTACAAAATGGGTGCTGCAGCAATCCAGGGGAACAGAAATGGGAAGGAGAAACAGATCTATTGACTTTGTGCAAAGAGATGCCACTATGTCTTGAAGTGATGGGACTGTGAGAGTGGAACAAAAGGGAAAAGGTAATTACTGACAACGCCACATCAAAGTCAGTGTGCGGAATAAACCTTATAAAAGGATTACCCACTCGATGGCTTTTTTTCTTTTCCCATAAAAAAGAGGTGCTTAGAAGCACTCTAGCCCTGTCTAGAAAGATTGATTGAATTACTCACAAGAAAATTACTCTTTGTAAGGGTCTCAGTAACAAACATAGAAGTGTCAAGAGGGTGAGTAATTTCAAACAGTGTTTGTCACTCACAGCCAGTAGTTTTGCCACTCTGCTTCTTTCTTTTTTAGAATGGCAAAATGAAAAATAATGTGGTCACTTTGACAGGCATGGGGTACTCAACCACAGATTTTTGCAGTAGTTCTTAGTAACAGATATCAAAAGATTCCTCGAGCAAACACAAAATGGAAATTTTTAAGGCTAAATATAATGGGGCATCGCCAATTCTTCCTAGCTAAGAACCTAACTAAAAACCTTTCTTTTTTTTTTTTTTTTTTGCAGCCAAGCATTGCAGCTAAGGAATAATAATGAATGTACTTAAAGGACCAAGCTTCCCTTTTACAAACTATCTGGTATTTTGGGGCATTTCCAGTTGCAGAGTCTCGTTTTCTGCCTTTAGGAAAACATCCATATCCCATGGAAATCAAACGACAGGAGAAACACCGGCTGATGAACATGTGGCCATATTTTACTCTCTCTGTTTTTTTACTCTTCTCTGTTTGACCAGAGTCAGCATCTCCCAGAGTTACCTAAACTTGGGGGTCACTCAACCTCTATGGAAAACAGCTTTTAGGTGACTTAGCTCAGCCCTTTGGTAAAAGAAGTACTCCAGATTAGTGAAGTCGTGTTTTACTTTAAAGGCCTGATTATGAGAGCTGGTAAAGGGATAACAAAAATAATAAACACCTTACAGACACTGCTGTAGATGGTGATAAGCAGGTCAAGAGATATTACTGAAAATTAAAAGAAACGTCTACACCTGAAAGCTATGACACTTTGTAGGCAGTAACTCATCATTTGTAAGTCCCTTATTGACTCTTTCATAGATGAAATGTTTCACAGATACAAGCCAGGGACGCGACGAAAGGGCTTTGGGCGTGAAACGTCTCACTGCATTAATGAAGACAGCTCCGCTATTTTAAAGGGACACCTGCTTTTTCATGCCCACAGAGGAGTTGGTCTTTAACATTGGCATCTTTTCTTCCTTTTTCTCCCTTTTTCTGTCCTGACAATTCAGCAAAGTTTGGTTTTGTAGCAATATGAAATGTCTCCAACAGCTGGGTATTCTGGAGAGCTCGGTTTCCTTCCCAGTGAGCTACACACTGCCTTCACCCCTGCTAAAAGCAGCGCTTGCTTATCGGTAACACCCGGCCTGTTGGCTGTGGATAAACAGACAGACTTGTGTGCTCTGTCTCTGAGGTTTCAAACCAGACAAGATTGCAGATAACGGGCTCAGAGCACACAAGGGTCCACCATGCTCGAGATTTACTTGTATGCTAATCGCAAAGAACAAGAAAGAAACCTTTGATTGCAACACCTCCTAGACTCGCTGCTTTTAGCCTCGGGAATAACAAGCACAGCATCTTCCCCACTAACAAAGAGAAGGGGAAATAATACAACACTCCCCCCTGTTGTTGTTCTTCCTTGATCCAGTGTGAACTAACAGGCAACGAAGGCAACAGGTGTGATTACTCCTTGCAATGACCCGGATTTCTTCCAGAGGATAAACAGTGATATTCCCATCACTGCCATTTCCAGGGCCTCGGTGAAATAACCCTTCAAATACCTTGATCACTCCCCTTTTTTCAGGCAGGGCTTGCTCTCTATGAATAAACATGCAGCTATTTCAGGAAATCATATCCTGGTTTCTCCTTCGCCCTCCACCCCACACAGTGCGAGGTCCCAAGAGCTTTGGTCTCATCCAGAAGGTGGCTAAACCCTCATTCAAGCCCCAAGTGATACGTGGGTCCTCACTCACAATTCCCCAGCGCAGACCATATCTACTATCCCTCTCCACAAGGCAGCAGTGAGGCCATGGAGTCACAGTAGTTCAAACAGGGAAGAGTGCAGAGATCTGCACTGCTTCTGGACACATAGCTGAGGTTCTTCTTACCAGTCTGTTTTATCTCTAGGCCAGCCTTGTCCTCCCAGTCCACAATAGCATCCGTAGCCGATATATGCCAAGGGAGACCGTCCCGTGCCACATGATATAGCTCCTGCCAATTCGACGATTCCTCGGGTGTGCAGTGAATGGGATTTTCCCAGAGCACCTTTCCAAACTGCAAAGACAAGACATGGCTACACACAAGGATTAAACATGCCTGACACAGATTTTCTTAAAATCCTTAAAGGGAGATTTTTTTGGTTTTGACTGGTTGGTTGGGTGCAGCCTTGACAATCTAATTAGCCATGACATTCAGCTTGCAAAGGGGACTCTGCAGGGGCCTTACCTGAGGGCTGGGATAACCAGGAGGCAGATGCAGAAATACCCAAGCAAGCTATTTCTGCAGAGGGAGCTCAATTCAAGCAAGACTTCCTAGCTCTGGTGCGCTAGCGTGTGATTGCAGCTATATCGCACCTGGGAGCAGTGTGCCCGGTTTTGCACATCACGGAGCCTGAGCGGTTAAGTTTTGCAGGGCCTGTGCCAGCACCATGCAGAGCCAGCTGGGCTTCACTGCCCCCCAGAGCTCGCAAGCCTGGGAAAGCTTACTGGCTACGCTGTGGTCCCAAGTGGGACATGAAGCGGCAGAGGACAAGCACACAACCAGGCCCAACTTGGGAAAAAATGGGAAAAAATGAGGTTTCTATGTTGCCCAAGATGTCTTATGTTATCCACGTTTCCCCTACTATTCAGGACATTTTAACCCATTCCCCAGATGGCAAAAAGCTGACAGTGCTATTAATTTGCATAGAGGGATAGCTACAAGTCCCTGAACCTGTAAGGCATACTTTGTCAAGGATAGAGTGCCTACGTTAGCCAAGATGTATGTATATCGGCTTTCTTTTGAGTGTTTGGAAGTGCTGGCAACACTTATGTCCGCTTCTGTTATTACGTACCATTTAAGTTGTAACATCACGTTGGCTGCATTAATTTGGAAAAAAAAAAAAGGAGCTCTGTGTCAGCTGAAGTGTGCGGATGGCCACCCAAACAGGTCTGGAGTTTTTTGAGCTACAAGTCTTTCAAACAGTGTTGTGATTGCACATCTTAATTTGCAACTTTTTTAGAAACCATAGACTCTACCTTGCAGTAACTGTTACAGAAACCAAGAGTACCCTGCCCCTAATACTCCGGCCACTGTGAAGCTCAGCTGCAAACGTTGATGCTTATCATGTTAACGATAGCGACAGACAGGAGTATTTATTGCCTGGGTTTACTGTGAAGGACCAAGTGCACTTTGCACTGCTCTATCGTGCGTGGCAAAGCTACTCAACAGTAGCATCAAACCCCTCAGACCGACTGCCTAACCCACCCGCTCGTCCCACCCATGCACAGCCGCTCCGAAAAGAAGAGCCTGCCGGAACAGGGGCACTTTGCGGTGCGCTTGGACGGAGAGGGAGGTGATGCCTGGGAGCGGGAACCCGCCACCGAAGTGGCTTTGCCACCTGCCCCCAGCTATTGCTGCACGCTTGACCTCTTCAAAGTGCTGTGCAAACTGCACTAATTAATCCCCTAAACCATCCAAGGACTCAATACTATTATTAAAACAGTTGCTTTCCTTTTAAAACCTGCCTCTAATCCCCTTGCTTGGGCCTCTCCCCGCATCTCCTGGGCTGGCTTGCCCTCCTAGGGCAAATCCCAGCGAGGACAAGGAGGGTCTCTCCCCGTGAAGGACAAGGCAGGGCTTTGCTCCCCCTCTGCAGCCCGAGCCCCCAGCAGGAACGAGCACTGCCCTCCACCATTTTCGCCCCGGCGATCGGCGCCTCAGCCTGTCCCGGTGCGGGGTTTCGCACAGCCTCCTTATGCTTCCCGGGGCATTCCTCAGGGATTAATGCACATTCCCGAAAAAGTAACCGCACTGCTCACCTAAACACTACTTGAGTGTTCAGGTTTCGTGCTAAAAACACATTAGACGGGTGTTATTTGAAACTAGAGAGACACCTATTTCCCTTGTCTAAACAGCGGGGCTCTGGAGTTAGAAGGGGGCTCAGCTCTCAGGCACCCCAGGGGAAATCACAAGTGGTGAGCTGCTCTGGATTTTGGGTTAAAAATCATGCTTTTTCAACCTGTTGCGGTTTGCAGACCCTGAAAATGTTCCAATGGAGACAAAAACTTCTTTGTAGGCATTGAGGCCTCCTGATGAGCAGCTTGTATTTTTTTTAGCTGTCTTTCGCTGACCTCTTAAGCCAGGACTGCTGGACTTGGTCTGTTGGCTGCTGGTTGAAAACAGCCGAGGCTGGTGTAAGGTAACTGCACCTCACCCAGAAGAAGAAAGGCCATTCTTCTTCTGGGGATATCTCTGAGGATCAAGGAACAGTAATTACAGTGCAGAGCTGCTCATGAAATTGGAGAGAAAGCCCCAAAGGGAGTTGAGTCCAAAAGACTCAATTAGCGTGCTTAGGGCTGCGTGCTCTGCAAGAGCTTGAAATAACGCGGGCATCCAGGCAGCCTCTGATGTTCCCGTTTCGTTCTTTGAAAGCTGGCTGGGTTTTGAGCCAACAGCGAGTCACTGCCGCTGAGAGGTCAGCCCCAGCAAGTACGTTTGAATACTCAGGTGCGCGGCTAATAACTTGACCAAGAACTGAAATTGCTTTTTCTATACTGGGCAGCCAAGCCAATGCAGCTGGGAAAGCCTTGAAAAAAGTCTGAGTCTCCACAGCAGCCTGCATTTAGCCACATCTCCCATTAGGAGCATGTCCAATCATTAATTATACTACTAACGGAGCACCTTAGCAGAGAACATACCTGCAGGGAGGTGAGCGGAGGTGGATCTGACAACTTACACTTCCTATTTCCTGCTTCAACAGGCAGCCTTTGCTGTAGATGAAGGCAAGGTTTGGGGTTTTATTTTAAAACTGTACTGCAGGTATAACCTCAGACCTGCCAGTTTAGTGTCGTGTTGCCTCTGTGTGTAGGGGCTTTATGTTAGCAGACATCTATGGCTTTAACAGGCTTTTAAAAAATTATTTCAAATTCAGATGAATTGAAAACTGCTTACTCCACAGTCATTGGTATAAAAAAAGGGTATTTCTATGAAGAAACACAGATGCCAACAACTTTGTAGCAGAAAACTATCCAAAAAGAAAATGACCCATGTTTATACAGCCCCAACCATGTAAACCGCCAGGGAAGCGAAGCGGGCAGGCAGCTCCCTTACACAGCCCCTCGCTATACAGCTGATAAAGAATCGAGCAGCGCTTTTTTTCTCACTTGGCCAAACCACACCGAGGTGCCTGCCGTGAAGCAGGCAAAGCTGACGGCAAGGGGAGAGGCTGTCCCGGGACGGGGGGAGGCATGGGGAGGGAGAGGTGGTACTCACCTGCCTGAAGCAGCATCAGCATCAGCAGCAGGCGGGAGCCCATGGGCAGATTGCTCCCGCGCCTCTGTACGCCGGGGTTCAGCCGCTGGGATGGCCGGCAGCACCTCGCCGCGCTGCCAAGTGAGCCGAGGTGTGGGTGCGCTTAACAATCCTCCCGGGCCGCTGCTCCGAGGTTTATATATACATGGCTCTGCGCCCGTCTGAAGTGAAACACCCTCTTCTGCGATGTCCCTGAGCCCCAGCCCGGGTCCCGTCCGTCCCCGCAGCGGGCTCCTCGCTGCGCGGGGAGAGGGCGAGGGCTGACCCTGTTTGCCTAGCATCGCCTTCGGGAGGGAGGGGCTGCTGGAAGGGCGTTAGGCTGGCGGTCCCCGGGACAGCCCCAGACACCCAGGCACTAAGCCGGGCTCCTTCTTTAAGCTGTTTGCTTACAGACCCTGGTTAACCTCTGAGTAGCTGCGGAAAAGGAAAGCCTGCAACCGGGCTTTCTGCGGCTTGGGCTCGCTGCTGTGGCGTCCCCCTGGCA